GTATTGCCGAAATCGGAGACGGGCATCCACTTATCCAGGTGCTTAAGCCAGAGAACTCTCACTCAGCAGATGCTTACCAAGCATCTACAGTGTCTAAGGACTTGGAGGCTGTGGGCATATCATAGCCAACAGGGTCTTTCCTGACTTCACTAACATTTGCTTATGGAATTCTATCCTTGGCTTCTCTCACCTCTGCCCTCCCAATTCAGTCGTCAAGTCCTGCCACTTCTGGTTTCTGAATGCCTCTGGGATCTATTTCCAACTGCACTGGCAATACCCCAGTACGGGCTGCCAGCTTCTCTTCCCAGCATTACGACTGATGTTCTAACTGGTTTTCCTCCCACTAGTCTTGCCACTCTTCAATTCCACTTTCTGAAGGCAGCCAGAATCACCATCTAAAATACAAACCTAATCATGTTGAAACCCTTCAAACTTACAACTATGTTTAGGAAGAAGTCCAAACTCCTTAATATAACTAACTAGTAACGCTCTTCACGACGTGGTGCCTGTGTATCTCCCCAGCCCTGTGTCCGGACTGTGCTCTCCTCTCACGTCTGGGCTTCACAGGAACCATTCCCTCTACTTTGCCCTTCACCCTTTAACCTGGTCAATTCCTAGCTGTCCTCCAGCATGGAGCCACTCAGACTGAACAGCAGTTTTTTTTTAATTACTTTTCTCCCTTCCCTGTGAAAATATAAGCTCTATCAGGTCATTAGATAGATTTTTACCACATTTGTTTGTTCACTGTTATATTTCAGGGTCTGGCACAAAATAAGAGGCTCAATAAATATTTTTTTGAATGAATAAATCAATGTCTAGAAAGCCAGAAGGAAAGTCAACTAGTTCAGACCATGGAATAGAGAAAGGCATCTAAAAAAAAAAAAAACAAGAGTCAAGCAAAGAAAATCAAGACAGTCCAGGCAGAGTCAACAAAAGTAAGAAAAGGTCTAAAAGTGTAAAACAGCCTCATGAATGGGAAGCGGGTGTGATGGGAGATGACAGTGGGAACGTAAGCAGTGCCAAGATCATGGAGGTCCTAGAATGCAGGCTACGAAGCTGGACTTTATCTAGGAGGTGATGGGGGAAGGGGTTGTAGAAGTTTAAGACCAGTGAAATGGTCAGATTTATATTAGGACTGATCATTCGAGCTGCTACTTAGAAGACAAATTGGGGGATGATAGGGGTCATAAGGCCGGAGATAGCAGTGAGATAGACTGGTAGTCAAATGAAAGCAAGGAACAAACTAGAATCTCGAAGGCTCGAGATTCCTTCCAAATGGATCTATCTAGTAGGCAAGGAAATTAAAGTCTGAATCTTAAGAAAGAGGTCAGGGATAGCAGTAATTTGAGGATCCTTGAGCAAACAGATTAATAAGACAATGAGAGAGGGTGGTATTCCAAAGGGGAAGATTCCTGCAGAGAGAAAAACCAAAAACCAAAACCAAACCCTAAGGTTGAAACATATTTATTTACAGGGCAGGAAGAGAAAGAGTTCCCTAAGAAGCATGAGACAGGCAGAAGAAACAGGAGAGAAGCAAAGGGAGTTGGGTTTAAGAAAGGTCTGATTAATGGTGTCAAGTGTAGCAGAGAGGTCTAGAAAGGGAAGCGCTGAGCAATAAAACAGGTGGAGAAGGCACTTTTCATCTTCTGAGATACATAAGAAAGAGGGTGATAAATGTGGTGGTAAGGGAAATGGGTAGGCAGGAGGTTAAGGTTTATGTTGTGTGATGGCTTGAATTTTCTCAATTACCAGGGAACATGGTTGCTGGGAATGTCTGTGGCCCCTAGGAAATCTCTGTATTCAAATGAGTGGGTGCTTGAGGGCACGGAGAGGGTAGTACCCAATCTCAGTACTTCACCCACTCCTACCCCACGAGACCAAGTGAATCAACTTTTCAGCCTTACTGACTCACTAAAAGCAAAGCAGAAACAACTATTTGGAAATCCTGTCACTTAAAAAAAGGCTTTTAAATTTTAACCAAAAGCACTTGCTACTACAGGAGCACCACTGGAATTAAAGTCCTAGTTGCAGGCTGCCATGGTCTCACTGAGCATCCCATCTCGTCACTCAAGGTCTGCTCAGTCCGTACAGGCCTGTCATCCAGCCTCTAAAGGGTAGTCTAGAAATGGAACATGGAGTTTAAATTAGGAAAGGAATGGGCATAAAAATTGCAGACGCATGTGCATGTTAAGTGTTTGAAAAATACCTTTCAGACTACTCTGGTCACCTGCTGATAAGGAGAGAAGCTGAGGTTGAGGAAGGAGATAGTTTTGAGAAATCACTGAAAGTTGTAAGACAGGGAAACGACAATTGGTAAAGGATTGTCAAGAACTGGGGTGAGCTGACGCTATAGGCCAAGACCTGTTGTACTGTCACCTTGTGTTACTTTCTTCAGGCTGTCCAGCTGGGGATTTATGGGTTTTGACAGGGACCTGGGTCAGAGGCAAGGGACACGGGGAGTTTTGATATTGATAAACCACGTAGTCTAGGCTGGAAAGGGAGGTAGTGGCAGGAGGGCTGACAGGGAAAATGAAATATAAGACCAGATACAGAGCAAGTGAGGGTTTATAGGTATAAGAAAAAAGATGCTACAGTTATGAGGAATGCTGGAGTCTTAACTTTCTGCTGCAGGTAATGTCTTTATGGATGATGACAAAACTCTAGAAAGTCTAGGCTGAGATTTCTGGATTCCTGACGCCCTGTCCTCTACCTCACAATGTCCAGTAACAGACACCTGAATTTTGAAAAATCAGATCTACCCTTGTAATGGAGATACGTTGAATAAATACCCATTAGTTTTTTCCTTAATTTTAATTTTATTGTAACTATCAATTTGCCATATCTACAGTAAAATTATACCCTAAATAAGCAATTATTATATTGTAGATACAGTCATCCTGATCTTCCTTCACCTCATTTTTCTCTCTATATGTGGTCCATTCTATTCTTAGTTTACATATGGGTCACGCTTTTCTTATCTGGACTCTTAATAATGGTTCAGACATTTATTGAGCACTTACCACTTGCAAGATATATATTACCAGGAAAATGTATAAATAATAATCATCAAAATAACAGCTAACACTTAACCACGTGCTCACAATTCTGCCACTCTACATGAATGAATTCATTTAATCTTCATGACACCCTATAAATCAGATATTATCGCTATTTTAAAGATGCACAAACCAGTTTAGTTAGGTTAAACAACTTGCCTGAGTCCACATAGAGAGTAAGCAGTGTGATGAGGGATTTAAACTCAGCTCTTTCTGACTCAAGAGCTAAGCTCTCAACCATTATTTTCCCTGATTCTAAGAAGATACAGCCTAATGGAGTATGTGCATATACAAGTTATCAGTTTAATCTGGTAAGTGTCAAGGAAAAAGGTCTTTTTTCTCCCTTTCCTCACTGACTCAGTATTAAAAAAAGATTCTGACTTTGAGAATTACATCAGCGAATGGACATAGAAAAGGAAAAAGAAAGCCCTCAACTACTAGATACGAAACATATTTTTATTTTGAATCAGTATAAGTTTCTGTATCAGTAGGTATAGATTTCACTGCCCACAACAGAGAATTTATGTCTTTTAAAGTATAGTCATTATTTTTTTTCTGCGAAGATAGGAGTTATGTTTTATTCATGAATGTGTTGCACAGTACACAGTACTGTGTTTGATACAATAAATACTTTTGATTGATTGACTACATGAGTAAATGAGTGACGATTACAGTTCACAAGTGCTACAGATGGCTAGAAAGGAAATGGGCTAATATTGGCTGGAGTTACTGTAGAGGGCTTTGTGTAAGGGCTAACTTTTTATTTTTTTATTTTATTTATTTCATTTCATTTTTATTTTTATTTGAAGTGCTGTCAGTTACAATGTGTCAATTTCTGGTGCACAGCACAATGTCTCAGTCATACATATACATACATATAATTGTTTTCATATTCTTTTTTATTATAGGTTACCACAAGACACTGAATATAGTTTCCTGTGCTAAACAGAAGAAATCTGGTTTTTTCATCTATTTTATATATAGTAGTTAGTATCTGCACATCTCGAACTTCCAATTTATCCCTTCCCACCCTCTTTTCCCTGGTAACCATAAGTTTAAAAATGATGGTTAGATGCCACAAAGTAAGTGGCAATGCCTTAGCGTGGTATGCATGTTGTCAGGCCCAAGGGCCTCTTTCATCCTTCTCAAGGGGAGTGCAAACATTCTCTCCTTTCATACATGTGTCTACTTACAATACAATCTTCTTAGCATTATTCTTCACTTGATTCGGTCCAGACTTCCCACCCAATACATCAGCCTTACTAGATGATACTGTACCCTGTAATCCGATGCAAGTCCTATTATGGCCTCTAGTGCCCCCAAGCCATAATAAAACTAAATGGCTTTTCCCCCTGACAACTAGGTTAGTCTAATATTCTGCTGCAAGACCCTGATTTGTCATCATGCATGTATGAGGTGCCCCTCATTCATGCATTATCTGAGTTCAACTCACTTGGGGACAATTGCAAGTCTCGAGAACAGTTCAGTGTTAGGAAGGACTGGGAGTGCCTGGCTCCTGAGGAGGGATGAATGAAGGGAGGATGAAGCTAAGACCAGGAGACCTGGATCCTACCCTAGACAGTGCCATTACTGTACAGCTGGCAACATATCACTTCTGAGCCCGTTTCCTTGCCTGTAGAAGTGAAAGGATTTGACCAGATGAACCCTTAGGTTGCTCCCACCTCTTGGAGTTGTGCTTACCAACGCTGAATCAGATGATACGTCCAAATCCGCGTTATGCTACTTGCGAACTACTGTGCACAGGTTTGGCCCGGTTGCATAATCTCCCTGATTAAATCCTCCATTTGGTAATAGTATCTGTTAGTTTCCTTACCCTTTTTAATGAAGCTCAACTGAGATAATGCTTATAAGATCTAACACAGATGCTCACGATCAGTGCTCAAAAAATATCTGCATTATTATTACTCTGAGACTCTGACTTACCCTGCTCCATCGAGAGCTCCCAGTCCTCTTTCCCTCGTCAACTTGAGCTTAGCTCGTCTCCAGAAACGCTCCATTTACTTTTGCACTTCAACACGGACCCGGAAAGTGCTCCAAGGTCTCAGGGAACTCCATAGCAACCCCGGGCTCCTCCCCAAAACTGCGGCGCCCCCACTTCCTGTGGAATCGAGGTCCGACTAGACGCCAAGTCCACGAAAAGTGGTTCCGCCTGGAGCAACTCCAGCAAAAGCCGCCTAGAGTCTATTGAGCCCAACCGGCATCCGGCGAGGCTGGAGCGGCAGGAAGTGGGCGGGGAGAGACGGGGCGGGACTTCCAGTTGGAGGCGGCAGGTTTGAAAACTGACAACGGTCGGTGTTCTCTGAGTCTTGACTTCGCTTGAAGCTGCTCGGCGGACTCGCCGCCCTCCCGTGGGCGGCTGCTGCGGTAGGTGAGCGCTGACAGACCCTGGCGGACGGAAGGAGGGAGACCGAGTGCGCCTTCTCGCTCCGCAGGGCCGGCCGGGGCCCGGGCGCCGGGCCCAGCAGGGTTTTCTTTGTGCGCATCGCCGGGGAGGAGACTGGGGACGCGAGCCCCTGGGAGGTGGGGGCGAGCTCAGAGGTTCTTTTCATTGGATTTTAGTCCCCAAAGCAACCTGAGCTCAGTTCCTACAAAACTAATGGGTGTTGTCCGGTACAGCGTAGATTGTGGGAGAAGAAATTTCAGCTGAAGCTGGCCAGTTAAAATTTGCATTTATATATACTTTAACTCACTTATTTGGTAGATAGTGGGGTTGCAGATGCTGGTCGGCTTTCTACAAATCTTCGTTGCTCAGACATCGCTTAACCAAAGCCAAAGCCAAGAATCAAAAGGCAAAAATGTCATACTAAGTCCAAAAGTCAGAGGAAGAGAGCGATGTATGTGTGGCGCTATGCGTGCGTGGCAGGATCATTTCCCCTGAACGAATTCAGGAAACTTTTTACTTAAGTTTTTGAAATTGGGCGTCTTTTCGATTTGTTTTTGTTTAACCTCTGCTTCCTAGGATTTTGATTTCCACTGTTTAGTTTATTGTAGCAAAACGAAGTGCCTACAGTTTAACAAGTGTTTTTTCGATACCTACTGTGTGCAGGATCCTGGTGGTGCAAATAAATGAGAAACCGAAGGGGTAATTAGCAGTAAATGACTGTTACTTGGTAGGCAGTCTGAGGGTCACTTTACATATATTAGTTCATTTATATACTCTATCCCGCCAAGGAGCTCGGACTGTGTATTGGAAGGCCTCTTTCCCCCTCCTTCCCACATATCCCCCTCTGTCCTTTACCCTCCGTCTCCTCTCAGTTCCACTCTCCCTTCCTCTCCACACACACGTGAATGAATTGGAACTGAGATTGTACTGTCAAAGAAAGAGAAACTGGATATGGGAGGTGATTCCAAAAGGGAAATTTGGGAAACGTCTTGGAGGAGACTAACTTGGAGCAGAAAATTTATTAAGTTATTAAACTGTGGAAGGTTTTAGAAACCGAGCAGAAAAAACTTGAATTTGATGTGACGGGAAGAGCAAGTAATTAAAGTATTTTGTATTTGGTGTTTTATACGGATTAATTTGATAGCAGAGCGTGCAAGATTTTAAGAAGAGAGGGATGTGCAATAATAACTTATGAAGATATTTTATGTGTCTTTATCATGATAGAGGTATCTGATCCAGATATAGCTTGTTTTGGAAATTTGACTTTTTCTGCAGCCTTTCTTTGGGCAAGTCTTTTTATCAAAGACTTTCAAATCTTTGACTTAGGTGAAAATATAGAATGCATATTTATGTTGCAAAGAACATATATAAGGTGTCAGAATCTGGATTCAAAAAGATTCTGGCTGTAGAATGAGAACTTAGAATTACAGAATTCAATAATAGGAAATGCAAATCCTTGCTAAAGGTTCATATCATCAATTATGAAAGAAGAACATGGAGAAGTCCTGGCTTGATATCATATCACTGGGCTACGCTGAAGAAGTTCTGGGAGTTTCAGTCAATCACATATGTATATTTGTCAGTGTTACCGTAGCACGGGATCGACAATGACCATTGCCAACTGTATTAATATTCTGCCCTAGGTAGACCCTGTCTGGAGTGTTGTGTTCAATTTGAGCATTACATTTTAAGAATACATTGACAGAAAAGTTTTAGAAGAAAGTGGGTGGAATTGGGGGTAGACTATAACAAGGTCATATGAAGAGTGGCTATTAAATTGTACACACCTTAGACAAGAGAGGGCTAAATAAATGTGATGGTTTTTTCACGTTTTTGAAAGTGGAGTCATGCAAACAGGGATTAATATATTCTATGTAGTTGCCATGACTAGAAAAAGGTCGAGTAGGTAAGGGTTACAATAAATAGATTTCTACACAGTATGAGGAAGAGCTAACTGATTATTAGAGCCATACGAAGGTAGAAAAAAGTGTCGCCTTGAGACTTAGTGAATTCTGGGATGTTTGTAAGTGTTCAAGCAGAACTGGGAAGTTACTTGTTAATCATTTAGAATGGCTTCCAACATTTGTCAGAGTTTAGGCAAGTAGCTGAAGTTGCTTTTTAATCCTAACATATTAGGAGCCTAAAGAAATAGATCTCCAGAATTGTGGGTCATTTTGGTTTGTTTGCAAAATTGAATAAATTCACATTGGATTCCTGGGATCCCACTACTTCCCTAGAGAGTAGGGGACCCGTAGGTGATAAACCAAGTGTTGTTAGCTGAGTGGCTTCTACTGCTGCTGCTTCTACTGTTACTGCTGCTATTCTGCTGGGCACAGCTAAAGATAGGAAGAAAATGAAAGTGCCTTAACTCACCAGGAGCTCACAATGTAGTGCCAGAGTTCTGTAAACATTATCACAATGCACTGTGGCAAGTGCTAGTCTAGGGTGGGATTTCCTAACCTCAGCATTATTGACATTTTGAACTGAATAATTCTTTGGTGTTGGGTGTCCGGCGTACCGGCGTACCGGCGTACCGGCGTATGCATTGCAGGATGTTTAGCAGCATGTTGGGTCTGCTACCCACTGGGTTCCAGTAGCATCCGCCTCCAGTATGACAACCCAAGGGGTCTCCAATGTGAGAACTGCTGCTCCAGGGGAACGCAGGTGGGACTGTCTCACTGTCTGAGGATGTTAGGGGAAGTGGTTTCTTGTTTTATTTATTTATTTTTTAAGTTCTCTCTCTGGTGATTGGAATTCCTGCCAATTACAACTATTCTATTCTTACTCTTATTTTTTTTCTGTTCCTACTTACATCTGAAACCTTGCTCATCATCTCACTGTGTGTACATTGAGTAGAATGTCAGAGTACAGTTTTATTATTTGCCCTATATTGCTATTGTTTGTATATAGATTCTGCTGATAGTGTTGCTTATATATCTTGCTTTGAGGATTAATTCTCAGGATAGATCTTATTATTAAACTCTGTGTCTCCCAAATTTAAAAAAGAGAAGCATGGTTCATTTCTGTTCAACCTAAGTCCTCTCCCATGTTAAGGAAAACAGCATTAGGAAAATGCAAAGATGATTGTGTTGCTTTCGACTAAACGTTATTTCAGGAAATATGTGTGTATATTTGTTTTTAATGTTACCTTACTAGGATATTTGATTATTTGATGATAGTTAACTTTACTATGAATATAGTTCAACCTTGGCTTGTTAATTTTGTCCTTAAATTTGTCAGCTTCCAGATAATGAGAACTGCTGGTTGTGCCATGTTTCTGATCTTTGTTTTTAATTCCTTCAGACTAGCAGGAGACTCCGAAGATGGAAACTTTGTCTTTCCCCAGATATAATGCAGCTGAGATTGTGGTTCATATTCGAAACAAAATCTTAACAGGAGCTGATGGTAAAAACCTCTCCAAGAATGATCTTTCTCCAAATCCCAAGGTAACATGCCGTTGTGTTTGCCTGTGGTTGATGTTATTTGAAAAGAAATTAAACTACTAGGTCTATAGCATGTGGAGACGGGACTGTATTTTACTATTTGACATAGGCTAGCGATTTTAATCCAGAGAAAATCTCTCACCTAGTGTAATTTAAAAATAACATAAAGTTTTTATGTGGGGCAGCTTCTACATTCCCATTAGGAATTCAAATATTTAATATAGTTGTTTTCTTCAAAAAAAAAAAGACTTCTAAACCATAGACATATTAAAATATATTAAATTTTTTTATTATTATTGGAGTAGTGGTCTGAGGGCACCATTTATTGGTACAGCATAAAGGAACTTACTCTAGGTGGTTTCCAATCACAAAAGTGCTTACAGTCGTCTTTGGAAGCTTACAGACTAATTTTCCTGCATTATGTCCCAAGGGAGAATTGACTTGTTTTGACAGACATTGTTCTTTGTATCTTTAGTTATTAAATGCAAAAATGAACTATTTATGTGTCACAGAAAATCCCAAAGTCTCCTTCCAGTTTCCTGTGTTCATTTTGAAGTGGTAACATAATAAAACATGTCTAGTGATGTAGAACTAAAACTTTTTGATCTTAGTGCCTCTTTAAGTTTTAAAATGGAATAACATCAGACTAAAGAAGCTTGTATACAAATCAGAAGAGGTTCTGTGGGCTAGTATTTGGGAATCACTGATTTAGAAGATAAAGCTTAAAAATCTCCTATTATCCTATTAAATTTAAACCTCCTGGGTCATAGTATTCACTTAAACTTTAACATCTAACTCATCTTAACCTTAACATCTGAGGCATTAAACAAGGTTTCCCAAGATCTTTCTTAAAAAAGTACACCTTCAGTGTGCCATTTTTGCCACATGCCTGACAACCTGTTTTGAAAGACTAACTCTTTTTCCATTTCCTAATGTGGATGGATTACCTGGATTGGGTTTGAACATACTTGCTATCATTCGTCTGTAAGCTTAAACAACTGATCTCATTGGCTATTTATTACATGTGATCAAGCTGATAAGTATATAAATTGCTTCAAAATTTGGAAAAATTGGGAAGCATTTCAAGGGAAATGGAGTAATTTTGTCACCCTTTTCTTCTTTGCATCCGTTGCCTGCAGTGCTGGACAGTAGTGGTGGTAGTGATGCAGCAAAGTGTTAAAAGTTATTTTTCTCTTGCAGCCTGAAGTCTTGCACATGATCTACATGAGAGCTTTACAAATAGTATATGGAATTCGACTGGAGCATTTTTACATGGTGGGTTTCAGACGAGGAA